CTATGAAGGTGAGTATTTTATTTACAGAACTAAATTTTAATTCAAAAAATTTGATATTTAATCAAATTAATGTGTTGATACACACGCTTGCAACAAAATAATGGATGAAGTAATTGTGTCACTTGAATTACAAGTTCAAATGTAAATACTACTGTTCGTATGGTTTTCGTTAATTTTCAGCCCTTATATGTTGGTCATCCATTTTGTAATAAATTGCACGTGTAATACAGTACATGCGCACAAATTATTATCGATTCAATCGTCCTAGTTTAGATCTATCTCTGCGTTCACATTTAAAGTTGGATCAGTTCAATTTAGGTCGATTCAAACTAAACTACCTCTTTACATGTTTTAGTTTACACCGATTCAAGATTCAAGATCGATTGAAAGCGTTCACATTGGGCTTAAATCGGTCTTAAAGGAACCGATCCAGTTTTAATCGATATAAATGTCCAAGTGTGAACGGGGTCTTAGTAACATAGTTTCAAAAGTGTAGATTTTTGCTGCTTATCAATCGCTTCTCCATGTATATTTTTCCTGAATGTTTCTGATATACATACCTAAACGGATATTTGCATGTTCCAGAGGCATTCAGCCAGTAGAAACATAAATTGAAGTTGGCACGCCAGGATGTTTTTTGCATATTAACATTCGAACCAATTAATCGCAAAACTTCTATAGCTTGCTTCGTCTTCGTTCTCTATTTTAGGAGGGAAATGATAACATTTATATGGAAATTTTGTTTTTTTATTTCTAATTAGCTTTATTATTACTATTTGTGAATTTATAATCCATAACGTCCTTGCTAAAAAAAAAAATAAAAAAACCAAACAAAACAAAAACAAAAAAACAAAAAAAAAATGTGGAAAGATTAAATTTTCAGTGTTCACAGGGAATGTAACATTTCCCACAATAACACTAACAGTTTGCAGGTAAAATTGAGGGATCATATCGAAGATAAAAGATCATTCATAATAACATTACATAAAAAGTAAAATGACAAAAATACTGAAATCAAAGGGAAATTCGGAACGGAAAGTCCTTTATAAAATTGCAAAATCTAAAGCTAAAACACATCAAACGAATGAAAAAAAATCTTTTCATATTCCTGACTAGGTACAGGAATTTCCTTATGTAGAAAATGATGGATTAAACCCGGTTTTATAGCTACCTAAACCTCTCACTTGTATGGCAGTTGCATAGAATTCCATTATATTGACAACAATGTGCGAGCAAAACAAACAGACATAATAGGGAAAAATGTCAAAAATTGGGGTACAGCAGTCAACATTGTAATATAATCTTAATCATTATGAAAACAAATATCTATTTCAACAAAGAAAAACAAAAAGACATAAAGACACTCTATAGACAAAGTACATTGGCAAAAATGAAAGACAAGATTATAAAATTGACCATAGCACAATAACATAATGGCGGGATGCATAAGTACCGAGCCAAGTACATATTTGATTTAACCGTATGAAATGCAAGTTTATTTGCGTTTTTCTCTTTCTCTATGAAATAGTGGCGGAATTATGGGTTTGTCAATCACTTAATAATTTTCCATCCGTTTCTTTCGAATGTAGGAATGAGAAAGATCGCGTGTTTAGTTGGGTCAATATTCATCAGAGTGAGGTACTCAAACTACACATAGAAATATAAAACCTGTATGCAATGAATATACTCATCATAGATACCAGGATACCAAATTTTGCATTAGCGCCAGACGCGCGTATCGTCTACAAAAGACTCATCAGTGACGCTCGAATAAAAAAAAAGACTTAAAAAAGCCAAATAAAGTACGAAGTTGAAGAGCATTGAGGACTAAAAATTCCTAAAAGGTTTGCCAAATAAAGCTAAGGTAATCTATTCCTGAGGTAGAAAAGCCTTAGTTTTTTAAAAATGTAAAGTTTTTTAAACAGTTAATTTATAATTATGACCATATCAATGATAATTCATGTCAACACAGAAGTGCTGACTACTGGGTTGGTGATATCCTCGGGGAATAAAAACTCTACCACCAGTGGCATCGACCCAGTGGTTGTGAATAAACTCATCATAAATACCAGGATTGAAATTTGTATATGCGCCAGACGCGCGTTTCGTCTACAAAAGACTCATCATTGACGCTCGAATAAAAAAAATTAAAAAGGCCAAATAAAGTACGAAGTTGAATAGCATTGAGGACCAAAAATTCCTAAAAGTTTTGCCAAATACAGCTAAGGTAGTCTGAGGTAGAAAAGCCTTAGTATTGAATTAGACATGATGGTAGTTTTAGTAATTGACTGAGCTTCACTATTTGTGTTTTTTACAAGAGCAGATGACTGTACAATAAAGATGTATAAACTTTGGAGTTATTAAATATTTGTGGCATGTTTGCGGCATCACGTGGGGCAATTCGGGGTTGCTCAATTTGGGAAAAATTTAAGCTCACTTCGTAACCCGAAAATTTAACCACATGTGTGAAAATTTCTCAGCTTCGAAACGAGAGGAATTGAAGAAAAGGCTACCATTGTTGCCTTTGGGAAATGAATTGCGCATCTTGACCCAGTTATATTACGCATTGACAATCAGATAACTTGGAACTGCCAGTATGACAAGAATTCTTACACTGATAACCAAATTCATGCTGAATCATAAATTCTATTATGTTCAATTTTTCATTTTTTCTGTGCTATTCGCTTATATCTCGTGAAAGATAGGATTTTTAATATTCATCCAAAAATTTTGTAGCGCTATCTTCCTGTCAACTCAATACGACGTCAAATGATATATATGACATTTAAATGACTTTGTTTGTTATTGACAGTAAATTAAAATTGTAAAAGGAGGCAGACTGATTTATTTTTTCTTATCGAACACGATATTAACTAAGCATCAATTGAGATTATTTCAGAAATCTGGGGTTATTCACGTAAGATGACACAAGTCATTATTGGTGTACAAATAAAAAGAAAAAAGATTGACATCGAAATATCTATCAATTCTAAATGTGCCTATGAAAGGCAAACAGCTATATAATACTTTACTTTCATCAACCATTTTGCTGTCGTTAATTCAAAATGATTGCATTTCGTGTGCCAGAAAATACGGTTGCTTGACGTCTATGACGTCACATACCCAACTACGATGAAGAAAACTATTACACTGTATAATCTTTGATGTTTTATTCAAAAGAGAGACAATAATGAACAGATGCTTGCATGCATTAAACATATGGACATTTTAACGTCCTTAGGGTTGATTGGAGTATAGTCATCTGGATATCTTAATCCGTTCAGCATTTAGTTCCCTACTAGGGTTGTCCTTTTTATTTTTTGTGATAAAAAGACACACCGCTGAGTACGGTCGGAACGGGGACGTTAAATCAGATGCCTCTTGTATAGCGAGAGATCCACACTGTATACATGTTAAAGGACCCTTGCAGCAACCCAGTACTATTGATTGATTTCTTCATATAAGTCCAATGCCAAATATGTCAGACATGTTCAGGAAGAAAACGCAATAAACAATGAAGCCAAAAGGTAGGCTCTGCAGATTATGACTAAGGCCGAGAAATTGAGTGCCGCTAAAAGAGGATTATTTTTGAGCGGCAGTAAATTAAGTTACTCACCAAGCACTCAACCCGTAATTGCAACTTTAACGAGCAGCTGTCGTCCATTATCGTCCTAATTTTGACTGGACGTTAGCTGCATGTGTCAATTTATGAAATATGTAATTCGGTGACAAGTCGGAAAAAAAGGATAACTGTACACAAATAAAATATAGATATTGAAAAAAATGTGAAGCTTCGTGTTTTAAGTATTGTAAAAGTTTAAAAGTGTGTGATTTCCCATCTTACCTCAATTATATATATATATATATATATAACTGACAAAGTGATGTTTGTCAGACTAAGCGCCCTAACTCAGAGACACATAGTTATTATTTGTAGTAAATCTGTCTATGTGTAACCTGTAGAAATTGTTATTAACCAAAAATAAAATAACAGATAAAGGAATTGTAACAAATATGTATTGGAATACACATATAATAAAATACTATATCAATAAATATAAAAAAAAATTCTATTTGTATTGTGTTGTGCAAACTTACGAAATAGATAAATCAAATCTTTCAGCGGTAGCAAACTTATGTTGAAATAATATTATTCATCTGGTGGATAGTTGTCTCATTGGCAATCATGCCACTTCTCTTTATTCTTATATTTTAGCTTATCCAAGACTACCAAAATTAATTTGACACCACAAAAGTTGTTATCGCTACACCAAGCTTTGAAGACATTACTAAAATGCCAGATACCAAACTTGGATAGTATGACTTTGCACTATGCAATTTTAATAACGAATTGAATATATCTCTTTCTAAATTTAATGTCAGTATTCTTCAGCTGAAAAGAAGCTCCTGGAGACTCGGATATTTTAATGAACCAAGTTGATTAGTAAAAAGTGTTTAAAATAATTGTGGTGATACACTATGAAAGGGTAAAGCATAAAAAAGCCAATATAAACCTGTCGAATATACCTTTAATGAGCATTCGTATTGGATAACTAACAACGGCCCAACGGTGCGAAATCTCATATTCAGTAAATTCAAACCGTGACAAAGGATTCCATCAGCCAAGTGGTGTTTGGTCTAGAGATAAAAAGTGTCTAGTGTTCTTAGTTGTTTATTTATATATAAAAAAGAGAGATATGGTATGATTGCCAATGAGACTACTATCCAACAGAGAACAAATGTAGCGGATTTAGGAAACAAAAGTAACGATACAGCCTACAACAATGAGCAATACCTATACCGTATAGTCAGCTACGGAAGTCCCCGACATGACAAAACGGGAATACATTTGTCATCTGTCTTTTTGTGCTTCCAACCCCCCTTCTGTGTATATTCATTATCCTTCATCTTGTTCGCATCATGCTTACATTTGTAGCTCTTATTCGTTTTCTGGGATTGGCGTTACTTTTGGTTCTTTTTTGTTATAGCACAATAAATAATAGAATTCTGAACTAGTTTTATTATGATGAATAAAACGCTACGCAAATATATAAAATACATTATTAATAACAAGTATGACATAAATAAAACCAAACAAAAGAAGAACCCACCTCCCGATCAAAAATGTATAAAAATTGTATTAAAACATGTATGTCTTTAAAACGTAAAAATAGAAAAATATCACCCAATTATTCAAAGTTATGGAGTAAAAATTGTACAAACAGTTGCTTTGAACATTAATACAGATTTTGTTTTCATACCATTATGCTTGAAAATCCAGCTGTTTGTTTGATAGAATATCTCGAACAGAAAGATGAAGTATTTTGTTGAATTGAGTTTTGGGTTTTTTTAAATTATAAATTTCTTCGAGTTCAAGTTAGAAAAAGCGTTCCAAGTTCTTTATCTTATTCCAGGTAGGTGGTTACTATTCGTCGCTCGTTCCTAATATTGAATTATCATTATCTCTAACTGTTGATGACAACAAAACATACGTTTCATCTAAGGAATAACAACTACTAGCTACTGAAACAATCTCTGCATGCACTATAGATGTTGAATTTTACAGATATATTTCTAAAAACTTGATGTAGAGTTGATTTATTTCATTTATCAAACTTAAGGTGTAAAATGAATAGGGAGAATGCTAAGGATACAAAATGAACTAACCACAAACTACCTCACACGATTTGATTAGAAATGAGAAACCTACCAAAACATAGTAACCATCTTTTCAAACTGCACTGGTCAAGGACCAGTTACGGTCAGAAATTTGCATTTTTTCTCAAATATTTTTTTTAAACAGGGACTGCTTTCGGAAATATTCATTTTCCATAAAAAGAGTTACCAAAAGTTAGATGTATGACTTGGACTTTAATTCAACTTATAAACAACAAAAAGCGGATTACAAGACTAAGTGTGCCTTTTCCCGTTTGAATGGTTTTAAACTAGTAGTTTTTGGGGCCCTTTATAGCTTGCTGTGCGGTGTGAGCCAAGGCTCCGTGTTGAAGACCGTACTTTGACCTATAATGGTTTACTTTTATAAATTGTGACTTGGATGGAGAGTTGTCTCATTGGCACTCATACAACATCTTCTTATATCTATCTATGTTTGAGTAACAGTATATAGATATGAGGACCAGTTATCGTCACTTATGAATCCAGCCCCTAATTATAAAAATTTCCTATTAAGTTCAAATTATTTTTATATTTTGCTATTTTGTGGCAAAAATAGAAGGAAGTTTGTCAAATGAACCAACAAAATCGTCGTCCCGTCAATAAATACCAAATTTCTCGAACTAGCGATCAATCTGTACTGATTCAGGATTTATATCACCTGAAATCAACAAATTACAACCAAGCCATTAAAGACGATCATATAATTGATTCAAAAATTGAAAAAAAAAACTTTTTTATTTGTTTTAAAAAAGACATGTTTTCCCAAAGTAAGCTTTGCTATAATTACTCAACCTGAAATTGGTCAGTTTTCTAAAATCGAAGACGCCATAAAGTCAAGTTCCCCACATGTATTTCCCCCCGACGACCGACGTGTTGAATCCGGATTTCTGTGTCTTGATTGGATGAAACAAAAGCAAATATTTTGAGCTAATTAAAATAAAATTTTTCTATAACGATAATAACAGTATGCCGCATCTTCGACCAGTAGTCCACATTTTTCGCCCTTTATCAATATCATCCTGTTTACAGATCTACGTTTTATTGTAATTTGATTCAGTAGTATACACTTGAAGAATATGCAATATGTTATATGAAATATTTGATACTTAACACTAAGCACGACCAAAAGAAGGAAGTACAGAAATTATGGACCTACATCCTGATCCTCAAGAAAAAGCTAGGGTCTTAATAATAATCTGCAAGATCTTGACGACTATGTTCATTATAAGTACAATAATCAGGAAAATGCTTTATATGGCCGATTTATGGTTACAGATGCTTTATCAGTTAATATAATACACGAGATTTAGTTAATAGTGACAACGAATCAATGAATCAAGCAAAAAAAGTATAACAACAATACTAAACTCAAATGCAAATTAAAAAAGGGGAAGCCCATCAAAACTGAAAAAATCAAACGCTGTCAATCAACGGAACAAGTGAAACAACTGCTATATTCCTGACTTGGTATAGGCATCTTTTAAAGAAAATGGTGGTTAAATCTGGTTTATAGCTAGCTAAACCTCCCACTTGTAGTTTTGTACCTATTCTCTAGGTCTTCAATTTTGTCAAATTTGTCAGATGGTAATTTTCCGGCTTATTCTGTAAAATTATTATGAAAATTATTTTATCATTAGATTTATTTGTTAGTACATGATTTCTTTATTCTTTCAAGGTTCATTTCTGTAATCAGTATTTTATTACTGACTTCTTTTATTTTTCACAGTTATTCTTTATTATTTTGCACCCCATTATTTGTGTTGCTCATTTTTCTTTATTCATTATTTTTTTTGCCATTATTATCTATTCTGTAAACACCATCCAGACCCTAATTCTGACTTTGAATATTGGTATAAATGCAATCAAAGACAAAATCCTATTGATGATATGAAATTATAACCAATTAATACATTACGTCTAAATTAATGTATGAGTGTACTTTGCAGAATATATTTATTCTAAAACACTTTTGCTTCGTAAAACATAAGTTTTTATTTTGTCTTTGTTGACTGTATGTATAGACACTTCACAGCATGCAGATTCTGTGCTTCTTGGATCACATTATCACCTGAAATGATTAAAAAACTAAAATTCAAAGCAGTTTTAAATAATTTGAAATCTGGAACCAGGATATTTTATGAGATTCAATTAAATTTTGATATTCATTTGTTTTTACATAAATACAACTCATTTTCAACCTAATCAAATAACAAAATATTATATTTAGTCTTGATTTTGATGACTTGTAAATAAATCCTTAATAACTAAATTAATCTAGTTAAATGACACTGACTTTTGATTCTGTTGATTCTTATGGGTCATGATTGTTGTAAATTGTATGATCCAATGAAAGGTTCTGAAAAAGTCTGACCAAAGGACTTTGGTATTTTCAAACGTATAATTGGGTATAAGGTGTATATTTGTGAGCTTCATACATGCTTGTATTTACTAGAGCAAACATGGTTGCTTAGAATGTCTAGAATTTATACCAATGCAGCAATACAATGCAAGAGGCTACTTCGTTATCATTAGGGAACTGCTATCCAAGTTTCGAAACCCCAATAATTAGTTAAGGTATAGAAGTAAGGTTACTGCTGGACTTTTCCCCCGTTCCGACAGTAAAACCCTTGCTTAAGTGGAGCGTCAATTTGGCTGTGTGTGTGGGATGTATGAATACACAGTCATGCCCGGTCGGAATTTGGAGGTTAAATGACCTGTTGCAATGCAAAATTTCTTCCCCTATCCACCATACCCACATTTTCCGGTGGCAGTCGAATTGATTTAACACCCTGCACCCAGGACAGCCTACTCTGCAGAACCTACATATGGTTTTGTCATTATTAATTCGTCCTTGTCTTGAAAATACATGACTTATTTGCCATTGTACGTTTTAACAATCAAGAATCAACCAATCTTTTTAGTTTCGTAAAATTCCTTGACTCTTTGGCAAAATTATTGTTGTTTGAAAAATATATTTAAGTAAACGTAACTTAAATGTTGCCGACATGACGACGCCACGAGATATATTTGGTCTCTATGTCTCGCCTTTGTATCTTTGGTCGTATAGGAGACACAAAGAAGAGAAGACAAAAAAACACACAACAGAGAAAGACAGACAATTCCCTGTCCACAAGAAGACGAATAGACAAACAAAAGTACACAAAATAAAAAAAAACAAAAACAAAAAACAAAACAGGTTAGTGCAAAAAGAACCCCACCACACTCTCGGTTAAAATAATCCTTGTGGTCCTGCAGTCCAAAATTCCTAATCAATTAACTACACCCCTTTTTTATTACTGTTAAATTCCGTTGAAAACAATATCCGACAAAAAGACACCACACAATAGCGGTTTGGTTAATTTCTCTCATGTATTTCTGTAACAGTCATAAATGACCGAATATAAAAGTTTGAAATGAACAAACATTTCTGCCGGAAATAGGATCGACAAGATACAGATAAAACGAAGCATGAAATAGCTCAAATACAACAAGGACGACTAAACTAAAAACAAAAAAAACATGAGCGCCGGAAGAGAGAGCAGTTCCTGTTCCACTAGTGGGGTTGCTCATGGGAAGTGCTGCCCGAATATTATGGATAATATAAAAAGTTTACAAAATGTTTCAATTGATCAAAAAAGTTAAGCTCTCAATCAACCCTCACTGTCAATCGCTTGATATAATTCACTATTTAAAATAATTCAATATTCAAAAAAGAATTACTGTATCTGTGGTTCCTTTTATGTCAGATCAATTATCCACGGAACCATAGTCCGCAAATTGTCCAAAACAATAACACAAGGACCATAAGATCTACGGTTCCGCAGCTAAGATTCACTTAGTAAGGAGAGATCAATAAAGTCATAAAATTTGGAATTATTTAGTGAGAGAAAATTATCTATGTAACAGAACGGAAAATTTATAGATACTAGCTTCTTTTCAATCTTCTTAAAAAAAACTCCTGTGTGTAATCTTCTCCGTACGAAAAAAGACGACGAGAAGAGGAGGACAGTTTGTTTCCACAGAAATAGACGATCTGTTGCAAATTACATCCCTTAGACGAACTAAAAATTTTGTCAATAAAAAAAAACAACAACAAATAATGTGGTTGTAGAAAAACGTTTTATTGGAACCAAAGTTGATTTTTCATGCTAAAATAAATTAGCAGTTTTATTTTCACACATTTCGAAGTTTAAAGATTAAAACGCCTAAAAAATAATCACAACTATTTCAGATGAGAAACATTTCTTTGATTAAAATGATCACAACTGTTTCAGATGAGAAATATTTCCAAACATTTCTTTGATTGTCAAGAAATAAGAGGAGGTACCAAGGGGGCAACCAAATGCTATAGATGGAAGACACAACAATACCATGATAAACAGATAAAATTGATAAACAATAGATAACTTTCTACGTGTAGTTAACTCTAATGCAACTACTTTACATTTGAAGGTATCGAAAGGGAAAGGGTACAATAAGAAATAAAACGCAGGATAATTGCATCAGTGGTAGTTTGACATAACAAATGTTATTACGAATATGGAACACCAAATAAATTTAACTTTTGTATTTATCTTTTTATTTTCTCACCTCCTATACATTTCTAGGAATATCATTGGTTAAAAGCGACCGCGCGGAGACACGTGTATATTTCATATGGGGTTAGTAGGCGTGGTTTTTTTTAATTCACGGTTAGCAGTGGTGTTACGTCCCTTTATAAAAACAAAAAGACGTTGAAGACAAATATCAATGAAACAACAGATGAAGAAATTGATGATGAGCGACTGAAAATAAATGCAAAAAAACACATTAAAGCTAACAAGTTGTATATTGTTGGCAATTGTTTTTGTATAAAACAATGGAAGTAGGTTCTTAATATTGAAGACTTGATCACTTTGATAGGCCATTAGTCTAAATGCCACATGTTAAGATAGTCGATAAGATAAATTCGTTACACAGTGTGCTTGTAACCTAATACGATATATATGGGGTCAGTAAATTCCATATGGGGTGAGAGAGAAGTAGGTCACTAGCATACTATGTATAACTAATAATATTAGATTTGTTTATATTTCACACGTCATACAGCAAGGAATGTGAGCGCAGTGAAACATGGTTTTATCAAATGATTTCAATAGGAAAAATCTGTATTATATAAAACATGAAAATCACAGTCTATTTTGTTTCATCATTATCAGTTGTAATGTTAGGTGTGTACCGTTGCATTCTAGTATTCTTTTTTTATGTTATCAATATTTCGGATGTTCATATCTTATATATAGTTTTGTACGAGATTTTTTAATACCAAAATAGTGTTTCATTGCATCAGTTTCCATATTATTCACATTATTTTGAAACAAACCTTTGACTTGTCCTTTACACATACAATTAGTTCGGATTAATTTCCATGGCAGAAATAACAGGTTCAATGGAACAGGATCACGATTTCTATATTTCATGATGATAGAACATCTCCAGAATTTCCACAGCCTATCCGAGTCCTTCTGTACTTCTTCAAAACGAGAACTGAAATATATGTGCTTATATAAATACCAAAAATCAACTTATGTTGAATAACTTCGTTTTTATCCTGGTTTTGTAGGTCTCTCTTCAACTTATGAGTTTTGTCCCTTTGGTATTTTCCAATTAGATGAAACAAAGCATTAGAAGCGATGACTGTGAATTGTCTACTTGCCAGTAAAGCCAAGGAAAAGGAAACTAATCTCGTTCTTACAAAGACTATATATCCAAGTAAAGTTGAGAACAAATATAAATATTTGACTAAGAACATGAAAACCACTTTCCTTCACAGATATTGATGCATTTTAGATTTTATGACCTTTAAATTTGACTTTAAATCAAAACGGGTCTCCCACCCACTGTTATATTTGCTGTATTTTCAAGTAAAGTAGCAATACCATGTACAATATTACTAAGAATAAAGACACATCTTTTCTGCACAAATTGCCATATAATTAGCTATGACATGACCTTTAAGGTAATGAATTAAAAATCAATAGAAACCCTCCTCCTTTATATATGACCATATATCTTAGTAAGGTTGCAATCCCATGCATCATACCTTCATACGCATCCAAAAATATTTTCCAACACAAATGCCAATCCATCGTTTGTTAATTTTAAGAAATGACCTCAATTTCAATAGGGATCTTTCTTGAATTACAATTAAAAAATTGATAATGAGGATCGATTGAGTATTAAATCTACGACAAAAGAGATGATTTCAATTTTTCTATTGTGAACTTTCCAATTCTGTGTAGCAACAATTAAACAGCGCCTGTATATGGAGTATATATTGGCAGTTGATACGATATTCCAGAGAATTTGCTCGGATGACGACGAATATGTTTAAAACAATTACAATCTTACCCATTAATTTGCGACTGTGACAAAAAAAGTCATTCCCGAATGAAACTTTTCATCGAATTTGTACTTAACATGAGACACAAGCCGAGTGCTACATAGAGAGCAGGATCTGCTTACCTTTTCCGGAACACCTGAGATATTCCCCGGTTTTTAGTGGGGTTCCTATTGTTCCGTCTTTAGTTTTCAACTGTAGTGATTTGTAGACTGTTGTTTGTCTTTTCGTCGTTTTTCGTTATTTGTCATGATATATATTTTACTAATGAGTTTTTATTGTCTGTTTTGAACCCGGCATTACCCATCAAATCGTTTGAAAAGCAGATTCTGCCATCTTCCCCCGTTGCTTACATTATTTATCTATTATTTGTAGTTGATCTTACAAACGTTAGAATGAAAGTTCAAAGTTTCGAAAAAAAACCTCAGCTATCTTGATTTGATAACAATGCAATCAATTGCGCGTGATGTCGAAGAATCAATTTACTAGTATCAACGATAGCAAACATAAGATAAGAAAAAATAGTTTAATCAATGCTTTTTTGTTTCTTCTATAATTTGAAACTTTTATGTATCAATAAATGCCTTTATTCAGAAATCTCTAATAAGTATTATATAAGTATTTTTTTTTGACATCGTGTCGTTTTGAGAATTTGAATTTCAAAGGACGCTGTGAAAATTCATAATTTTACCCATTTAAATGAGAAAAAAACTTAAACATTCAAAGATCTACGATACGTTATTGAACAGTTTAAACAAGATGGTGTTAGGAAAATAAAGATTATTAAGCTGGATTTTGTTTTAATATCAACGAGTTAACACAAAATTCAAAAAGACGAAAAAGAAGAAGTACCGATCGTAAGAGTACTTCCAGTTACTGAAAACTACTCCTAAACATTATTTCAACTAAAAAATATATCCCGCTTCTTAGGGCTAAAACATATGTCAACACACCTCCAACGGATTCAGTGTAAACACGTCATAACGCAGTGGGAACTAATATAGACAGCATGTAAATTGTAAATTCCTATCATTTCAAAATACAAGGAAACAATTTTATTTTAAAGTAAAAAAAAGATAGCTATTTAGTTAAAAAAAAACTAAAATAGTTTTGTGCTCCCGAAATGAACAAAAATATGAAACGCGCTAGGAATTGGTACATAATTAAAATTAGTGCAATAAATTTTATCGGAGATTGAATAGTGTTTACGCATCTACAGTTCTGAGCGTAAATCTGTAATTTTAATAATTGTTTTGTACGTATGATGAAATGTGCAAAGTATGAACTTATGTCAACCATTAGGCATTGTTAGAATATAGCAAAGTGTTCTCGACCAATAAAAATGTAGAATTTTATGTTCCTTAATTGTGGAGAATGACTGTAAATCATGTTCTCTTACTATCTATTATCCTACAATTAGGAAACTTATACCATTTCTTCCATTTTTTTGTAACGTTGTGTCATCTCATGTCTTCAACACAATTTATTAAAATTTCCCAAACTAAAAGTAAGTCCTTACATCACTAAGACCAATACATGAATGAATGTCTAAAAGGGAAGTCATCCATTAATTATAAACATTGCACTGACAATGAAACAAACTCTTGAATAAAACAATCAAGAGATCATTTGAGCCTTGAACACTTTACAATATTCTAAGTTTGTAAGAGATTGATTATCCCTTTCATCATGATACGTACTCGCTAACGCTCTTACTTAATCATGAAGGAAGGGATTATCATTCTCTTACATATACATAGTACCAAAAGACAACAATATCAACATTCAAAAAATGCAAAGACAACTATATAATGTAATATTTACGTGAACAAAGCAATAATCAAGTTAACCAACAATAGGTTCGTGATTAACATGTAAATTGCAGCGATGATTAGTACCGCCCAGTCGTACTCAACACAACGTTCTATCTCTGGATTATTTTCCCATTCAGTACGCACAAATGTGCAAGTTCCATTTGCATTATTTTGGCCTATAAATCAGCAGAATAAATGATTGTTAGATGGTATATTTTAATGTTACATGTATGGCTGAAGAAAAATAAAAAAATTCAAATCTGTGTTCTACGACAAAAAACACCTATTCATACAATTTAACAAAGCTATCAACTTGATAATTCGCAATATGAAATGTTAATCTAGAAATGTGCATCGACAGCAGTACAATTTGTACATTATATCTTGATTACTTCCTCTGGGTCTTCTGCGGTTGTGGAGTGAAAGTTCTCCATGCAGATTCCAGTTACCCATTTGATTATTATTGACCCAGGTTGATTACATAAAATCATACATATTATTAGTTACATAGTGATGTTAGTGACTATGTAACGAATTTATCTTACCGACTATCTTTATTTGTTGAATTTAGAGTAGAGTTGTCTCATTTGCAATCATACCACATCTTCTTATTTTTATATTAAAGTGTTCAAGTGTTCAATTTAAAGAACTTCTTCCATTGGTCTGCACAAAAAAAAAATAATGTCAACAATAACAATTTAATATGAACAACCTTGGTATAACAATATTAAACAGAACTTTCAATACATTTAAATAATCAAATAGTGCAAAAGTCGTAACTCCACTACTAACCGTGTATTGAAATAAGCCCCGCTTCCCTACTAACCTAATATGGAATATACACGGTCTCCACGCGGACGCTTTTAACCAATCATATTCCTAGAAACGTATAGGAGGTAAGATAATGTATGATATGCCAACAACTGGTCTAACTCTAAATTTTAACTTCTATAGTTGTACGCTCCATAAGCCTTTCAGTCGGAATTGACATTTAGGGTTCTTATAGATAGGGTGAATAAAGTTAATTTCCTATTAATTTGAATTGTGTAATTCGCGTCTGGCGTACAAAGTTTTAAGCATGGTATCTATGATGAGTCTATTTACAACAACTGGATCGATGTCACTACTAGTGGAGGTTTCCTCCCCAAGGGTATCACCAGACCAGTAGTCAGTACTTCGGTGTTGACATGTATAAAATTGATATGGTCATATCTATAAATTAACTGCGTACAAACATTTGAATTTTTCGAAAAAACTAATTAATTTCAACCTTAGGAATACATTACGGTTACGTCAGCTGTATTAAGCAAAATCTTTCGGATTTTGGGGTCCTCAATTCTCTTCAAATTCGTACTTTATTTGGCCTTTTTAACTTATTTGATTCGAGCGTTATTGATAAGTCTTTTGTAAACGAAACATTCGTCTGGCGTACACAATTCTTACCCTGGTATCTATGATGAGTTTATTCTATGTTCGAATTGCTGCGACCAGATATTAACCAGTTCATTTATAATAATAAAATTAAGAATGGAAATGGGGATTTGTCAAAGAGACAACAACCCGACCGAAGAGCAGAAAACAACCGAAGGCCACCAATGGGTCTTCAACACAGCGAGAAAATCCCTCACCCGGAGGCGGGCTTCAGCTGGCCCCTAAACAAAAATGTGTAATAGTTCAGTGAAAATGGACGTCATACTAAACTCCAAAACATATAAATGAACTAAAATTAAAAAACATACAAGACTAACAAAGGACAGAAGCTCCTTACTTGGGACAGGCGCAAAAATGCGGCGGGGTTAAACATGTTTTGTGAGATCTCAACCCTCCCCCTATACCTCTAGCCAATGTAGAATAAACAAACACACAGCAATACGCACAGTAAAACTCAATTTAAAAGACGTCCGAGTCCGATGTGAGAATAGGTAACAAAAAAAACTAAGCAAAATGACAATGATACATAAATTAACAAAGGACTACTAGCAGTTACTGACGTGCCAGCTCCAGACCTCAATTAAACTGATTGTAAGATTATGTTTTCATCATATGAAAATCAAGCATAATCCCTCCCGTTCGGGATTAAGTATCATACCATCATAAAATATATGAGAAGAACATAACCCGTATCATACCAGCAACTGGTTTTAGAATAAATGTGTTTATTTCCGATGCAAAGACCATATGGGCGAATCAATATTAATACCAAAATATGCCATCTATAATGACATGACAACAGTATCGTAACTATATCCTTTCTGAATAAGTCTGTTTAAAGGTTTGTTAGCTTTTGAGGTGAATGCCAGTTTTTTGTGCTTTGTATAGAATATTACCATTAAAGATTGAATGTGAAATACATGAACGTATAAGTTGTCTGCATGTTGATTTATATTTACGAATGATGTCCTTGGGGGGATGATAAAATTTAATAAATGTTTTGACTAGTTTGTGATATCGAAAACCCTGGTGTATGTATTAACTACAATTTTTGTTTAGACTATAGAACATTTAGAGCTTAATATGCCATGTTTTTCGCTGACTGATTATGACGTCTTTGCACTAAATCCATTGGATGTTGGATGTGCACTGATTGATATTAGTCTTAGATGCATGATTTTTTTTATTAGTTGTTATTGGCTTTGAACTAGTTGTCAGTAACTGCGAGTACTCTCAGACCTGTACTTAGAGTCTTTTTTTTGTGGGAATGTATAAGTACCCTGCCATGTCCATGTTTTTGTTACTTGTTTTTGCTTTGTATCTATCTAATGAGTTAAGCCCTTTTCAACTGATTTTTTAATATTGTTCATATGTTGTACTGTTACACCACTGTTCCAGGTTAAGGGGAGGGTTGAGCGCCCGCTAACATGTTTAACCCCGCCACATTCTGTTTGTGCCTGTCCCAAGTCAGGAGCCTGTAATTCAGTGATTATCGTTTGTTACTGTGTATCATATTTTTTTTTCGTTCATTATTTTGTACATAAATCAGGCCGTTGGTTTTCTCGTTTGAATCGTTTTACATTTGTCATTTCGGGGCCTTTTATAGCTGACTCTGCGGTATGGGCTGTGCTCATTGTTGAAGGCCGTGTGGTGACCTATAGTTGTTAATTTCTGTGTCATTTGGTCTCTTGTGGAGAGTTGTCTCATCGGCAATCATACCACATCTTTTTATTTTTATATGAGTATACAAAAATGGCTATTGTTGAGGACCCCAGATGTTTTTTTTTGTTATATGTGTCTAATTGACATATATGTAGCATCTACTTTTATTCATATCATGTACATGGCCACACTGAAACATATGCATATTGACATAATACTGTGTGTTTTCAGGTAGAGAGGTTCGAAAATAAAAAAAATATATTTATCATTCTTACATATTTAAGTAAATAAAGATTGTTTTTACCTTGAATTTCTTCCAAAAACAGCTCCCCATATATTTGCCAGTACGGCAATGATATTATCTTCCAAATTCGCCAGTACTGTACACCTTTTGTTGACCACATGTCATAATGACTAGGATACATGTTCGCATGATACAAAACTCCTGTGCACATCATGAACACTATCAAAATCCATGCAAATTTGATTAACTCGAGAAGCTACAAAATTGTAAACCAAATATAAGATAGATATAATGCAATGGAATGTAAATGTATTGGCAAAAAGAGATGAAGGAGGAAACTGTTAAAGCTCACACTTGAGTTTTCCATTATTATGCAGAATTACATTTCGTTAATCCCGAATATTCAAGGCGCTTTTCTGGATAAAACCTTCACCAGGACGCTCTAATCCAAAGATTTAAAAGTCAAGGATGTATAAGACCTACTCACACGAAGAACTACACATGTGTATGACCAAAAGGGACCTAAATATAGCCAAATTCATCGAAGGTCAATTTTGCCTGATGAATTTTTAAACTTAGTTTCTTAAAGGGGCACTAGCTGTCAAATTCATGTTAACCGATTTGACTCAAATTCTTATTTTTGATTTATAACAATGTAAAACATTTATCCAAAGTATAAAAAGTCTAAAATAAACAATTTACAGGGCATGGGCTCGAGAATATATAACTTCCTTTCGTGTGTATTTTAGTCTAGACGCCATCTAATTAACTATCGAGTTGACCTCCGAAAACCTCCGATGGTCATATAAGCGATATAAACATAAATATAGATATAAATAGAAAGTGGACTCGTGCAATTGGATTTTTCTAGGTCTGTTTAATTTCATATTATAGATTAAAAATATATGTTAATCATCGTTTTTACCAGTATAAGAATGATGTTTTGTGGATCGAATCAGTCAATCAAATGATTTACCTTTGTTTCACTTTCAATGTTGACATTCTTTTCCTTTAAATAACTCAATGCATGCGTTATCAATCTCTAGCTAAGAGGTTAAATTGAAGTTCACATGAATACGGATTGAATGAGGTCAAATTATTCACTTGCAAGTGAATAATTCATCATCAATGTTTCTTAGCTTATTTTGACAAAATTGAACCATATTGGCCGCTAAAAGCGAATTACTATTTCACTATTTCACTTTCATTAATGATTGAACACAAAAAAATCATATTTTTGATTTTCATATATCTCGTAGCTAGTGCCCCTTTAATAATTTCTGAATCAATAAACGGAGAATTTAAGTAAAGTTTCCTAAAAATTATGTCAATAACAAAGCCATGAATACTGAGTTAATAAAACCTTCGGGGACAAACAATTCACCAGCAGAGGTATCAACTCAGTTCTAGTAAATGAAATAACAATTTCTAATTTGCCTTTCTGAATTTACTTGCATTAGGAACGCTGAAACTCAAACATTGAAAAGCCAAGCTATATGAAAAGTTGAATACACCGTCTATATAAAGATTAAATAAAAAGAAGGAGATGTGTTATGATTACCAATGAGACAACTATTCATCACGGACAGATAGACGAGAACTAAAACATCCAACAATGAGCAAAACCAAGATCGTATAGGATAGTTACCTATAAAAGGCCCCGACATGACAAAATGTAAAGAAAGTAAACCCAAAGAATGCAAATGAGAAAGCCAATGGCCTAACTTATACCTAAAACAATAAACAAAGAAAAATAAAACAAAGAGTAGTCAAAGCAAACTACTGCATTACATGACTCCGACTTAGAACAGGGACAATACAAATGTTGCAGTGTTAAACATGCGTGTGAACACTTAAGCATACCCTTATCTGGGACAGTGGTGTACAAAATATTGCATGCATATATTGGTTATTTTGAATCTGTTCAAAGTTTTGATTTTTCTACCCTATATACCACATTGCCTCACATTCTCATTAAGAAAAAATTCACACACCTAATTAGATGGGCATTTAAAAAGTCAGAATGTGAATATATATGTTCAAACTCTTTTAGGTCATTTTTTAGTAGCAATAAACAAAAAAACTATGTCAATTGGACATGCTTTGATACCATATATGCCCTTGAATTTTTACTAGATAACATTTTTGTTCGCTTTGGAGATTCCGTATATCGTCAGGTTATCGGAATTCCAATGGGGACTAACTGTGCACCACTTATTGCGGACCTTTTTTTGTATTGCTATGAGTTACAGTTTATGACAAAAATAAGAAATTTATCCTGTTGAACTTACTTTAAATAAAGCTAATACTAACAATGACCACTGCCCTTTCCTCGATCTTGATATCTATATCATTAACGGAAAGCTTCTTACGGTGTTTATATATCTCAACTTGTACGATTCGCTCGTGTATGTAACAATGTTTTAGATTTTAACGAGAGAAATTTATGTATAATTACTGAAAAATTATTACACCAGGGTTTTCGATATCACAAACTAGTCAAAACATTTACTAAATTTTATCATCGGTATAAGGACATCATTCGTAAATATAGCTCAACATGCAGACTTCTTATACGTTCAGGTATTTCACATCCAATTTTTTATGGAAATATTCTTTATAAAGCACAAAAATGTCAGTATTCACCTCTGAAGCTAACAAAACCTTTAAATAGACTTATTAAGAAAGGATATAGTTACGATACTGTTGTCAGGTCATTAAAGATTGCATATTTTGGCGTTAATATTGATTCACTTATAGGGTCTTTGCATCGGCACTAAACACATTTATTTAAAAACCAGTTGTTGGCATGACACGGGTTATGTTCTTCTCATATATGTCATGATGGTATGATACTAAACCCCTAACGGGAAGGATTGTGCCTGATATTCATATGATGAAGACATAATCTTTCAATCAGTTTAATTGAAGTCTGGAGCTGGCATGTCAGTCAACTGCTAGTAGTCTGTTGTTATTTATGTATTATTGTCATTTTGTTTATTTTCTTTGTTTACATCTTCTGACATCAGACTCGGACTTCTCTTGAACTGAATTTTAATGTGCGTATTGTTATGCGTTTACTTTTCTACATTGGCTAGAGGTATAGGGGGAGGGTTGAGATCTCATAAACATGTTTAACCCCGCCGCATTTTTGCGCCTGTCCCAAGAGCCTCTAGCCTTTGTTAGTCTTGTATTATTTTTAATTTTAGTTTCTTGTGTACAATTTGGAGTTTAGTATGGCGTTCATTATCACTGAACTAGTATATATATTTGTTTAGGGGCCAGCTGAAGGACGCCTCCGGGTGCGGGAGTTTCTCGCTGCATTGACGACCTGTTGGTGACCTTCTGCTGTTGTCTGTTCTATGGTCGGGTTGTTGCCTCTTTGACACATTCCCCATTTCCATTCTCAATTTTATTAAATACAACATAAGAACTAACTGTAAAGATCAGTTAGAAAGGGCTTGGCTAACATGTTTAACCCCGCCACATTCTATAAGTGCCTGTCCCAAGTCAGGAGCCTGTAATTCATTGTTTGTCATTTGTTGCTGTATATCACATTTGTTTTTCGTTCTGTTAGTTTTCTCGTTTGAATAGTTTTACATTTGTCATTTCGGGGCCTTTTACAGCTGACTATGTAGTATGGGCTTTGCTCATTGTTGAAGGCCATACGATGACCTATAGTTGTAAATTTCTGTGCCATGTGGTCTCTTGTGGAGAGTTGTCTCATTGGCAACCATACCACATCTTCTTATTTTTATATTGGCTGATCAGATCGACACAGGGCATTAAAATATGCCTTTGTACATGAAAATATTCACATTTAAAAAACAAATATGTTTAAATAATGTTACAAAATTACAATGCATTAAAGATAGATATTTGAAACGCACAATGCGAAAGAAACATTATTGTCATGTTTAGGCTTACAGATTTCGACATTCATTTCATCCAGAGTAATATCTGAGAATTGAGAGTTATCAGGAAAAAAATAATGTCTTGCATTATTAACATGTTAGTCATTTTTTTACTTGCTACTTGATAAGAATTAGAAAACTTCTTGGTGTAACCCTTTACCTTGTCAACACAACTGATCTCGTCTCGTTTATGGTCGTTTTGTTTTAGAGACATCTTTCTGTTTAAAGTATGCAACTTTATAGTTTTAAATAGTGATTAAGATCAGAACACAATGGGTTGAAAGTAATGGGGTCAGTGTAAGAATTTAGTGCTAATCTACAGTGTTTGTAAACAAGGCCATGTCAATGGCCAACAAATGCCGCATGGCCCTATGCATTGGTTATTGCAAAAGATGGAGTTTAATTTGTCCTTAATGAATGATATTTAAATACTTATGATCTCTACAGGTAAACAAGGTACACCTTTAATTCAAGAAATGGGTTTGCATTACGGTCAAGAAGATTCCATGAGACAACAATCCATCAGATTTAAAGCAAAAGTAGTAGTAAAATGGTAGTAGGAGTCAACTGACGATTCCAGTCGTGTTAACATGTTTGAACATTTTGTCTTTTTGATTATGTTTGCTATTTGTGGTTTCTAGCTATGTATTATAATTTTCAAACTATTATTGTTTCAGATAAGGGTGAAGGTTTGGTACCATTAAAACGTTTAAACCCGCTGCAATTGTTTGCACCTGTCCTAAGTCAGGAATCTGATGTTCAGTAGTTGTCGTTTGTTGATGTGGTTCATAAGTGTTTCTCGTTTCTCGTTTTTTATATATACAGTCCGCCAAAAGTTAAGCACCACCTAATTTTATTGCATCGAAATTTTTTAATTTAAAAATAATCAGTTATTCCTCGAAAAGAGAAAACATTAATGTAGCAATTTTTCTAACATATACCATAAACAAACCATAAACTTAAGTTTAGTCACTGATGCAGGTTCTATGCATTTAAATTTTGCGTTCATAGAAATAGTGTTAATTACACAAATAAGAAACGGAATTTAAGTTTCACTGTGACTTTATGTTTTTACAACAATTAATCACAGAATATCATTAAACATGTTAAAAGTCTCTACAAATAATCTTTGGTATGTTCGGCAAATTTAATGTCAATATTTGAGTCAATAGGATGTGTAACCACCTCTCTTCCGGTACAGTTCTATAACACGGAGTCTCATACTCTGTACAAGACTTCTGAACGTTAGTTGAGGAAATACATTCCATTCATCAACAATTACTACTGTTAAATCACTACGATTTTGCAAAAGTGGATCTCTGCAATTGAGATTTCTGCCAAT